GTAATTGGTGGCATCTTCAGCAGCAGCAGTGGATTACCCAACATTTTCTGAATTTCTTAATAAATCTCGCACATTGGCATGGAGGTACATACAACTTCTTCAACTCATTGATATTTTTGTGCTATCTTGCACTGCTTGCTTCAGGCCATACCATAACATTGCAGTTGGATTAAGGTCAGGGCTTTGACAACCATTCCAATACACCAGATGTCTTCTGCTTCAGCTGTTCTGTTGTGTGTGCAGGACTCTGGTTGTGTTGCACAATCCACATTCTTTTAAGCTTCTGCAGAGTTTCCTGGTATGGTCCAGAAATGGTTATTCACTCAGTGACTGTGAGCTGTTCCAGTCCTGAGGCTGCAAAGAAACCCAAATCATGATACTCCCATCACTATGCTTCATGGGTCAGGTGAGGTTCTTTTGTTAAAATGCAGTGTTTCATTTTCTCCAAACATCAATTTCTCATTGATGCCAAAAAAATCCACATTTGACTAATTCTTCCATAGATTGTTGTTCTACTAGCCTACTGAATCAACCAGGTGTCCTCCGGCAAACTTAAGGCAAGTAGCAGTGAAAAGCAGTGGTTTCCTCTCTGATATCCTCCAAGACACACTACTCTTTTTTTCAGGGATTGTTTTTATGGTGGCCTGCAAATTTTTGTCATTAATCTGGAATACTTTGCAACTTTCCAGAATATTGTACATCTTGCTTTTGGTGTGGTTTGTATTGGACATCTTCTGGAAGGAGGAACAATGGCATAGTATTTTCTCCATTTGTATATTATCTACCTAATAGTGGACTGATGGAGCCAAAGTATTTGACAATGGTTTTATGGCCCTTTCCAGCCTTACAAGCATTGAGAACTTTTTAATGAGGTCTATGCATATCTCTTTTAACTGGGATATGATTTACATCTACAAATCTGTGATGCTACTCCAATGGTAGCAACCAACATGTGGTTTTTATAGGGCAGGACTCCTCAAACTCACATCTAATTATCATCTAATTGATTGGACAACTTACAATCATTAAAAGCAGAAAATATTTTAAAAAAACATTAAAAAATAACTAACTCACACCTAGGTAATAACAATAGAACACAAAGTACACTATACAGTCTCACACAATGTCCTGGCCCAATAAAAGCTACAAAGGATTTAATTTAAAAAGCATTAATGTTACTGCTTAATCTTTTAATGCTATAACCCAGGGAGCCCAGCAGAACATTAATTTTGGCCAATGAGATTTCAGAAACTTCTGATAAGTGTATTTTCAAATACAATATAAAGCTAACAGAATTTATACAATTATAATGGCCCCTGTCTTTCCTAGGAATTACAATTCATTTTACCCATGTCTAAAGCTGAGTATAGATGCAATATAGAGCTCTTAATAAACTACACTTAAGGGAATAAAATAACCTGGAGGACTGTGTACTCGCACAGCCTCTGGAGCAAATCACCTATTTCCTCTATATGTCTGAAAAATCAGTATACATAGCTAACCAGAACCGGTTTTAATTGAAGAAGTAGTGAGAACTTACTCGCAATAGATCAAAAAGGAGGAGAAATGTAGGGGTCTCCTTTCTTCTGTTAACCCAGAAGAACCCAGAAGGGCAAGTAATGAGTTACCATAAATTGCTCTTACCAAGGTAGGAGCCCT